ATTAATTTGCTTTTTCCTTGTCATTGCTATACTGTGGACGTATTTCAACAAGAAGAAATTCACCATCAAAGTCGTGGAGGGGGAGGTGGGGTGACACCATGAGTTTATCACACGGGGTGACACCATGAGTTTATCACACGGGGTGACACCATGAGTTTACGGCACGGGGTGACACCATGAGTTTACCTCACCGGATGACACCATGAGTTTACCGCACTGGGTGACACCATGAGTTTACCTCACCGGATGACACCATGAGTTTACCGCACTGGGTGACACCATGAGTTTACCTCACCGGATGACACCATGAGTTTACCTCACTGGGTGACCTCATGAGTTTACATCACCGGATGACAACATGAATTTACCTCACCGGATAACACTATGAGTTTATCACACTGGGTGACCTCATGAGTTTACATCACCGGATGACACCATGAGTTTACCGCACCGGATAACACCATGAGTTTATCACACTGGGTGACACCATGAGTTTACCTCACCGGTTGACACCATGAGTTTACCGCACCGGATAACACCATGAGTTTATCACACTGGGTGACACCATGAGTTTACCTCACCGGTTGACACCATGAGTTTACCTCTCTGGGTGACACCACGAGTTTACCTCACCGGATGACACCATGAGTTTACCGCACCGGGTGACACCATGAGTTTACCGCAACGGGTGACACCAAGCCTAGCTAAGCCGCTAGGTGACAACAATACAAACACTCTTGAAACAGGATTTGCTGTGAAGAAAAAAGGTCTAGGTGCAGTTAAAGGTTTTAAACCAGAGAATGAAAGAATGTGCTTTTTGAGTGTGCGAGGAAAAAAGTTTAATATAGCATTTATAAATATTCATGCTCCCACCAAAGATATAGAAGGTCAGATTTAAAAAAAAATACTTTTATGAGACACTGGAAAAAATCTACGATGAGGCACCAAAACGAGATATTAAAATAGTGATTGGCGACTTTAATGCCAAAATAGGGAAAGAAATTTTTTTATGCAAACTATTGGCAAGGAGAGCCTACATGAAGAATCCAATAACAATGGGATCCGACTCATAGACTTTGCTTCAGGAAAAGGAATGTCAGCAGCACCAATTTCCAACACAAAATTACACATAAATCTACTTGGAACTCATCAGATGGAATCACTCACAACCCAATTCACCATGATCCAATCGAACGCAGGCATTAATCAGACATACAAGACATAAGGAGCTACCTTGGAGCAGATGCAGACTCCGACCATATACTTATAAGGGTTGAATATAAACAGAGAATAAGCATAATTCCCAATGGCTGAAATCATAGAGAAAAATGATATGCTTACCAAAACCTTACCAAAGACCCATTTACCGCAAAGGCTTACCAAAATGAAGCAGAAGCACAGCTAGGAGCATCAGGGGAGGAAACATGGAAAACAACATGAATGAAAATTGGGATAGGATAAAAACGCTATGAAGAGATCAGCAGAAAAAGTATTAAAATTTAAGCAAACTGCAGGAGAGTAGGCTGGTTCCATAATTAATGCAGAGAGACTGTCGAAGTAAGGTATAAGGCACGAGCCACCATGATACAAAAGGAAACCAGAAATACGAGACAAATATACAATGAAGTCAGAAAGAAAGCCACATATATGTGTGCTATTTAACCTAACATTATAAAGAGTTATAAGAAGCATACTTATTGATAACCTAGGAAAAATAACTGGATACTCAAGACCCACAACCAATAGCCACACTCTACAACCTACTCCTTCAGTATCTTGCATATTCTGATGACATACATTTTTAGGGAAAAGTATTTAAGATGTATCAAAATCTTTTTTTGAATTAGAAGACACATCACTACATGCAGGACTGGAATTTATCGAAACAAAAAATATGACTATGTTAAGAGAAGAACAGACAGATGAAACCATTTAAATTAGAAACCAGACTTTTGAAAAAGTAAATCAATTCAAATATCTGGGATCATTAATAAATGAAATAAATGAATTACTAACAGAAATAAAAGACTATGATATGACACAGTGGTATGGCACTATAGTAATGATACAGTGGTCTGGCACTATGGTATAATACAGGGATATTGCCCTATGGTATAACTGGGGTCCTACTCATAAAGTCCGTTTCGGTAGTGAGATGGGGAGTGATTGCACAATTAAAAAAACATTCTTCGTATTAAGAAAAAAAAAAGACGACAAAGTGTGAAATTATTTTGTATAACCTTCAATTAAATTGTTTTTCTTTAAAAGATAAATAAAATAAAAACCGATCTTGGTTCTGTATCTTTTTACGCTATGGGTATCACACAAAATACAGGGTAGCCTATTTAGCTCAACTCTAGGTGTATCACACACAATACAGGGTAGCCTATTTAGCTCAACTCTAGGTGTATCACACACAATACAGGGTAGCCTATGTAGCTCAACTCTAGGTGTATCACACACAATACAGGGTAGCCTATGTAGCTCAACTCTAGGTGTATCACACACAATACAGGGTAGCCTATGTGGCTCAACGCTAGGTGTATCACACACAATAAATGGTAGCCCATATAGCTCAACGCTAGGTGTATCACACACAATACAGGGTAGCCTATGTAGCTCAATGCTATGGGTATCACACACGATACAGGGTAGCCTATGTAGCTCAAAGCTAGGTCTATCACACACAATACAGGGTTGCCTATATAGTATGGTAATAATGGGGAGAGACTGCGATCAGGTTAGCCAAAAAAAAAGGAAATAAATAAAACAAAGCTTGTGACAACTGCTCGGATACTATTTTTCAGCTAAGTGCTATTTAAAAAAAAAAATTAATTCTGTTTTTTTCTGTTGTTGTTCGCTGACGAAAACTTCCTGCCGACACGTTGGTTGTTTTGTTAGGTTCCTTTTCATCCTATGGAGTACAGCGATATGGGTATCGCACACAATAAAGAGTAGGCTATGTAGTACAGCGCTATGGGATCACACACAGTACAGAGTAGCATGTATAGTACAACTCTATGGCTTTCACTCGCAATATAGAGTAGCTTATGTAGCACAACAACCAGTCTCCTTTCATGCAGAGCTAATGAAGTTTAAATATTTTTTACCCAATTTTTTCTAAAGAGATAGATTGATTGACATTACAAAATTTGTATGTTTTGTAATTCATTTTTCCCGTATACTCAATCCTAGCTCTTTGTGTTACCTTAATGAGGCTACTCAATCCTAGCTCGTTGTGTTACATTAATGAGGCTACTCAATCCTAGCTCGTTGTGTTACCTTAATGAATCTACTCAATCCTAGCTCGTTGTGTTATCTTAATGAGGCTACTCAATGCTAGCTCGTTGTGTTACCTTAATGAGGTTACTCAATCCTAGCTCGTTGTGTTACCATAATGAGGTTACTCAATCCTAGCTCGTTGTGTTACCTTAATGAGACTACTCAATGCTAGCTCGTTGTGTTACCATAATGAGGTTACTCAATCCTAGCTCGTTGTGTTACCTTAATGAGACTACTCAATCCTAGCTCGTTGTGTTACCTTAATGAGACTACTCAATGCTAGCTCGTTGTGTTACCATAATGAGGTTACTCAATCCTAGCTCGTTGTGTTACCTTAATGAGACTACTCAATGCTAGCTCGTTGTGTTACCATAATGAGGTTACTCAATCCTAGCTCGTTGTGTTACCTTAATGAGACTACTCAATCCTAGCTCGCTCGTTGTGTTACCTTAATGAGGCTACTCAATCCTAGCTCGTTGTGTTACCTTAATGAGGTTACTCAATGAGTTTGCCGTTTGTTCCCCATTACGCCATCTAGATATGTTCCCCTTCTAGCCATCTAGATACTGAATAGTAGCAAACTATGTTCCCCATTCTCATCTAGCTAATCCCTGCTACCCCGCTAGATTCGCTATCACCCATCTGGCTAATCAATAATAGTAGCACGCTATGGCCCGCACGCCCCCTCCCTCCCCTCCCGACCTGTACCCTCAACGGTTTGTTTTCTATATAGAACAATCTAGATATAAAATTGCTACCCGTATTGTTCCCCCATACTTCATCTGGATACAATCAGTTCTAGCACTTCTTCTTCTTCTTCTATATCTTAAGGGCCCACGATCAATTTATTGATCATTTTGGCTCCTATGCATGTAGATGGGATTTGCAATGTTTCTGCTACTGGTGGTGATGGGGAAATTATGCACTAGGGGTTTGAAGGCTTGAGGCAATAGACACAAATGTGTCTAGTGTTGTCGCCTTAACTGTTCCTTTTGAAAGATGGTTCCAGTCCCTGATTGTCTTGGGCAGGAATGAGCAGCTCCTATACTGGCTTCTTGCTGGTATGAGCCTGAATTGCTTGTCATGGCCTCGTCGCTGTCTATGGGGGAGAGGGACGAGTTTCTGTTTAATACTGGAACAGTGGACCAGTCCATTATTTATCTTGTACATCATGGAGAGCCTGGATTGTCGTCGTCGTTTCTCCAATGGTGACCAGCCTAGTGTTTCTAGCATGCTGCCAACACTAGAGGTATTCCTGTTCAAATTCCCCACCAAACCGTATGGATACGCCTATGTGTTGATAATGCAGCCACCATACAACTCAAAACTGCGCTCAAGGTCCATCTCTTCAAACTTTATTTTACCGACTCATTCTCACCCCCCCCCCTCTGACTGATAAACAACGCTCGATTCTGCTGGGTGCTGTCCATGGCTAGACAGGGGTAGGTAGTACTTGGGTGGGTGAGGTCAAGCTTTTCACCAATAGTTGTTTTAAAATGTATACGTTTCTGTAAATGATAATTTTTATGTCAAGCACAATGAGCCTCGTCCTAGGCTGGCGTACTGCGCTATATAAAACCACCTAATAATAATAATATATATTGACCCGACATGATCTATTTATTTACTTTAAAAAAAAATCTTTAAAGACTATTCAGTTTATGGAGGTCCACAATATAAAAATATAAACAATAGTTGTTGCAAGCTCTAAGGAGGTCGTCACGTGACTCGTCAATGCGTCGTGCTAATTAATTTATGACGCCATGTGACTAAGAAAGATGGCGGTAATATATGCTCAAGTGGAGAGATACCTGCACCTGGTCCAGAAGAGGGCTAATTATTCACGATATGTATTTTATTATATCTTTTGCAGGGTATTTAAGCCCCCTGACATCTCTCCGACATCACATCAGTTCTGCTGACCATCAGGATGAAGACTATTGCTATTCTCGCCTGCCTTTTCGGTAAGACTTGATATAGTGTGTGTGTGGACTTGGAAGGTCTTGTCTTCGGAGAAGTCTTCTGTGTGGCGAATTCATTAGTTCCCTAGATTCAATGTCTTCGATTTCTACTCCCTGTTAAAACAAAATCTTAATTAAGAAAAATGTATATTTAATTTTTTTTTAAAATTAGGTATGTATTTTATCTTTTATATTACTGTTTTGGTGACAAAAAAAAAGAGGGGGGGGGGAATTATATTTAGAATAGAGGCTTACATTAGAGCATGATTTTTACTTTTTATAGTAAGGTGTCCCCCCCCTCTCCCCCTCACAAACACTCACACTTTTCCTAAACACACACAGCAAAGAAATATGGCACTCTTCATTTAAATGCTAAATTGGTCTCTTTCAGCCATTGTGTTGGCCGAGGATGACCTGGAAAAGAGGATTGTCAACGGTGACAAGGCCCAGCTGTATGCCTGGCCACACCAGGCTTCACTTCAGTTGTACCAGGCACCATATGGATGGTATCACATTTGTGGCGCTGTTCTCATTGGACCAAACAAGGTCAGTTACATTACAACCAAAGACAAGATAAATTAGCCCCAACTTTAAAAATATATATATTTATATTGGGAGATAAAATTCTTATCAAGAAATCGTATTTCGTCTGCTTATTCATTTTTACCATGAGTAGATTTGTTCATTTCTGAACTTCTTTCGCTAAATTCGATAAAGGATTTTCCTCAAATTACTTTTTTTTTTCACATGAGTTATCATAAAACGAGATTTTAGAGCGTCATTGTAGAATGAGAATTTATAGCGCCATGGCGGGGAATGGAAGATCTATTATTAATTTAATGGTTTTCTTTAGAAAGTCAATCATCATTAAACATCTAGACGCTGGAAATTTGTAGGTTAAATTAAATCCTACTTGTAATGTCACCGTAAGCTTCTGGTTGGTCCACATAAGGTCACGTAGGCTTCTGGTGGCAACAGGGCTTACAATAAAAGAAATTGAAAAGTAAATTCTTTTCAGTTTAAAATGTTTTCATAGCTTAGATAAATATAATTTACTGTACAAAGTTGAGAACTCTCTAAACTGACCTTTGATCTTAGTTGTTGACTGCCGCTCACTGTATCGATGGACAATTGGCTCGTAACCTGCGTGTGGAGGTCGGCGCCATCAACCTCTACGAAGCCCCTAACGCCTATGAGCAGACCATCGCAGTGTCCTCCATCACCATGCACCCACAGTACAACGGCAATGCCAATGGCTATCCTAATGACATCGGTGTCATCCGCACATCAAGCTCATTCACCTACAACAAGAATGTGCAGGTAAGTTCAAAATGACCACACACCAACATATTATGTTTGGTGTCCGGACTAAAATAATAAAGTTTTATTGGAGAAAATCGAATATTTATATCCCATTAATAATAATTTTAAATAAGGTGTTCTACTGTACAGTGTTTAGTTCTGGTCAGAAATTGCATCGCTATTGGGTTGGATTTCTCTTTTTGTTGATAGGGTAATGCAACCTATATCTTATGTACATAGATGTTTTACTTTTTTTCATTTATTTAGTAATTTTGTTACTTTAGCTATGTGCTAATTATGTTACTTTAGACCTGTTCCTCCCAATATAAACTATGCAGCGTTTATAAAACATTGGAACAAATTGAAATATATTTTTGGGGATTGGTGTGGAAATGATAGGAGTTTTGAATATCACATAATTTTCAATAAGATTCCATTCTTTATAGAAACTATTTTCCATGACAATGTTATGGATGTGTAAAATTGGTTTTGATACCATAAATGTTCACGTCACAAACCCTTGAGAACCCGAGAAGTTAATTTGGCCATCGACAATTTTGTATGAATGGTGTACGTACTATGCCCATATGACATGGCTCTAGTCAATAAACACATTTTCCCCAGCCCGCTTCATTGGCACCCCAAGGATCCAGCTTCGCCAACAGCCAGTGCGTCATCACTGGATGGGGTCGTACCGTCGGAGGTGGAAGTGGAGCATCTCACCTGAAACAGGCTTACATCACCAAGATCACAACCGCACAATGCAGATCTTACTGGGGTGCCTCTGTCACTGACAAACACATCTGTGTCTTCGAGGCTTCTGGTAGGTCCTAATGCAGTAAGATTAAACAAACAATATTTACCAAATGTCGCCTATTGTTTCCTTTGAAAGTCATATTTTTAAACGACATTTCTAGGGAGATTCGTCTTTTATCTTGAATGTATAAGTTATTAATTTTTGCTACTGTTCTTTTTCGCTTCTATTTTCTCCGCCTTATAATTTCACTGAAATACCCAAAGGTAAATTTCCCATTAAATAAAGTTTTTAAAAATATTTTATTTCATTGTTTGTTTTATAATATTCTGAAACAATGAATTCTCCAATGGATTTTTTTCTCGCACAGACCCAGCCGGTACTCGTCCAAGTGCTTGCAATGGTGACAGTGGTGGCCCAATGATGTGTGGCAACAACTACGGTCTTCTCGCCGGTGTCACCTCCTGGGGTGTCAGCTCTTGCAGTGGTAAGTTTATATAATAATGTCATAATATTAAACACAATCTAAGAATAATAATAATAATGTAACAGAGTACAGTGATTCGCTATTTGAAACCATTTTTAAAAAGAATTATCTCCATAATCGTATACAATAATTCCTCTCGCACATAAAGCAATCAACACAATAACAACATCATGCGATCACATACATGCAAAAGGGTAATGAGGGGAGAGACTGCAATAAAGTTAGCAAAATATAAAATGAGTGAAACAAAGTATGGTTAAACCTGAAAAAGGGAACGCAACAAAACAGCGAACGTGACGACAGGAAGCCTGCGTCAGCGAAAACAAAAAACACAAAAAAAAATGCAGAATAAAATGTAAAAATAGCACTTAGCTTAGAAGTCGTTTCCGTGGGCAGCCACTTAGCTTAGAAGTAGTTTCCGTGGGCAGCTGACGAATTGTGGAGTTGCCGACGCGTTCGTTGTTTTGTTGCCTTCCTTTTTAAAAGGTTTAACCCTACTTTTTTGTATACTCATTTCACATATATGTAGCATCACAAATTATAGTCTTAATATGACCAAATTGCTTACAGGTGACTATCCAAGTGTGTACACTCGTGTGTCCGAGTACATTGACTGGGTCAATTCCCGCTAATCTCAAAACTTAGAAATAAGGAATTGACACTGCCGACTGAGCGCCTCGGATACGTCTGACGTCGTGAACTATTCATGTCATATCCTGAAACTATTATATTGTAAAAAAACAATAATACAAAAATAATTTAAAAAACATAGTTTGTTGCTGCTTTTTCAAATCTATTTTTATATCAATAGATCTATATTACAAATACGTGCTACTATTGCCAGAAAACAAAAAAAACTCAATTAAATTGTAAAAAAAGGTATTTTTCATGGTCAGCTGTGTCATTGGATTTAGAGTATGCTATTGTAACCTAATTTTATATGTTTGTTTGTATTGCATTCCGGTACCAAGTATTTAAGGTTTCGGACATTACGGCACATTCTGGTGCTGGCTTTGGTACAAACTGTGTATGAAAGATGAATGTTTGCTTAGATTTTATGACGTAGGATCAGTAGTGTCCCTAGGAGGTACGTGGGGTCGCAAAAATGCAATTTATCAGAACTCGTGAGAGTGTTTCTCAGAGCACATCGAAAGTAAACTTTACTTTAATACAAGGTCAGGCTGACATCAGAGCAGGTTGCCACTAGTGTGTTTCGTGAGTTAAAGCATTAGAGGTCATCCAGGGCAGGTTGCCGCCAGTGTGTCTCGTGAGTTTATGCTTTAGGGATCATCCAAAAATGATTTTTATGGATAGTCCCTAAGATCCAATTCTACTCGGAGAAAAAGCCGCTGTTGAAGGCAAAGGCGCCAATTCAAAACGTTTGAATTCATGTGATTCCTGGAAATCACCGACTTTGTTTGCAGACGTCGTCAACACGGTCCCTCTAATTTTGGCTTTGATAATAATCTTCTTTCAACTTATAGCAAAATTTTATTTAAAGGGAATTCGGTGGAGAATTTAAAGTAGAAAAATCGTATGCTTTGATAATAATCTTCTTTCAACTTATATCAAAATGTTATTTTAAGGGAATTCGGTCAAGAATTTAAAGTAGAAAAATCAATCTACAATCAATATCCAATAAGTGTAAATACTTTTATAATAAAGACAAACATACGTCGGTCGATCTGTTCATATCTGCTGTTGCCAGCATACCAAAAATCAGTCTAAACAGGGGTCTCCAAACTACGGCCCGCGGGCCGGATGCAGCCCGCGAGGCCCTCTTATCCGGACCGTGGAGACCTTTTTGTCCACGGAAAGAAAATGCGGAAATTTACGTGTATCTTATCAAGATCGGCCGCCGCTTACGTGATCGTTATGTTTTTACCGAATTAAAATAGAGACGCGCAGTAGTGCGTTACTTTTTCCAACCGATCACAACATTGTAAAACCTTATTCGCTGCTTAGTTTTTCTACTTCCGTTCACAGTCAATGAGATAATACAACGCCATCTAGTGGCTGAGTTTTTTAATGGTTTGCTGCTTGATCAAGACTTATCTCCTTTGATCACAGTTTGCCAGTTGCAGTTGACTGCTGAGATGAGGTGTTGGTGTCAGTTAGCGTCTGATTGCGAAACATGTTGCAGCAGCGGATTTCCCCACGTCATTTGCAAGCGAGATAATCAAAGACTTCCAGCTGCAGTTTTCTGACTTGTATTCAAAGGCAGAAGAAGTGAGGTTGTTTCAAAACCAATTTGAAGCAGATGTGGCCAGTTTACCAGATGAACTGCAGCTGGAGGTCATTGAGTTGCAAGCAAATGACCGCCTTAGGGACAATTTCAAAGAAGAATTGGCCGGTATTTACCAGTTTTAGCCCAAGAAAGACTTTCCTAATGTCAAAACTTTTGTATCAAGGTACCTTTCAATCTTTGGAACAACATGCCTGTCGAACAAACGTTTTCAAGAATGAATACGTGAAGAACAATTTGAGAACAATATTGTCCGGTGATAATCTCGGGTCACTGTTGATGTTAAGGACATCAAATCTAAAGCCAGAAATGTCTGCTAATCCCTGCTATTTTGGCATCCAGTAAAAAAAAAACATTCACCATTCCCACTAATACAGATGTCCATGTGTCGTGTATCAAAGTGTTATTAAATAATAACGGAATAAAATAATATTAAATAAATAATTAAAAACAACATCCATGTTTTGATTCTTTCTTATTTGGACTTCAAGTGTGTAGTCGGCTTCCGAACTGCTGTTTGATAGTTAATGCAGCCCTCGGGCTGAAAAGTTTTGAGAACCCTGGTCTAAACAATTAGCTAATTATTTTAAACATTTAAAGCTCCTCCCCCCACCCCCAGCCCCCCCCCCCCGCAACCAGGGCCGTATTTACAGCAGTGGAGGCCCTGCAATGCACTGAGGCGCCTATCCCTCTAGCTACTCAGGGCCGTGCGATTTGATAGTTAAGGCAGCCCTCGGGCTGAAAAGTTTTGAGAACCCTGGGCTAAACAATTAGCTAATTATTTTAAACATTTAAAGCCCCCCCCCCCCCCCCCAGCCCCCCCCCCCCGCAACCAGGGCCGTATTTACAGCAGTGGAGGCCCTGCAATGCACTGAGGCGCCTATCCCTCTAGCTACTCAGGGCCGTGCGAAGGAGGGGAGAAAGGGCCAATCAGCCCTGTCGCCAATATCATGGGGTGGCTAAATCATCTTAAGAGAGGCCCTTAGTAGTAAATTCAACAGTAAAATCCCATGTACTTCAAACAGACAGGGGCGGCAAGATCGTCTTACTAGTGCAACCTGAGCAGCACTTTTCCTGGGCACGCCTCTGTATTTAGCCTACTGTAACGGCTGTCTATAGCCTATTGTAACGGCTGTCCATAGCCTACTGATACGGCTATCTATAGCCTACTGTAACGGCTGTCTATAGCCTACTGTAACGGCTGTCTATCGCCCACTTTGGGACCAAGCCATGTGGACGCAGTCGTTGCAACACGTGCCCTTTTGTCGTCCAGACTGAACGCATACGTTTCCCCAAGGGCAGTTTTCAGATACGCGACGGTTTCCTCTGTACAAGCCGCAACGTTATCTACGCCATTGTCTGCACCCGCTGTCAGATGACATACATAGGGGAGACTGGACGCCGTCTCTCGGACAGGTGTACCGAACACCTCCGAAACATTACACAAGATAAACAGTGTCCCGTCTCCAAACACTTCAATAGTAGCGACCACCGGGGCAAGGCGGACTTTTCAATAAGTGCGATTGTGGCTAGCACTAACACCACCAGCCGGGTCAATTTGGAACACAGACTTATCCTGACTTACGGCACTTTGACGCCAGATGGGATTAATGTTATGTCTCTGTTCACAGCTTGACCCTAGCTCCGCCCCTCCACGTTCTGACCTATCACAGTGAACTTTTTTCTCCCCATTTTTTCGCCGCTGCTTATTTAAACTCTCACTCATTTTCCTTCTGCCACACTTCTATTGCTGCCCACAGATACTACTTACCAGCTAAGTGCTATTTCTTATTTTTATAACGTTTTTTCTGTTGTTTTGTTCGCTGACGAAGGCTTTCTGCCGACACGTTCGCTGTTTTGTTACGTTTAATTTTTCAGGTTTAACCATACTCTGTTTTACTCATTTTATTTTGTACTAACCTGATTGCAGTCTCTCCCCTTATTACCCCTTAACTTTGGCACCCCTTTTTAGTGGAATCATTAACGGAAAAACGAGTTATTCGGTAATGAGTTTATTACCTATGTAGTTTTTTTTTAAAAATCAAACAATGGACAATACATTTTTTTTTATTAACTTGTATCAGAATATCTTTTTTTTTTATTGCACTTTCTATTTTTCTTCCATGGCGCTCACATGCAATGCTGTTTTCTATTTTGGAAGATCGTTGATGGCGCCCTAAACACGCGCAGTGTACGAAAAGTTAGAATATCGTTTCTCGAACCTGGACCCGAGGTTCACACTTCACTACAATAAACTTATGGAATTTAAATATTTGCTGGGCGCCCTAGACACCACTTTGGCTACGTGCAAGGGCACATGTCACACACCCTAAAGGCCGGCCCTGCCTAGAAGCTGTGAGGCTCTCTAGAGGCGTGAGGTTCCCTATTAGCGTGATACCCCCTAGAGGCATGAGGCCCCCTTGGGGCCCAGTGTCCCCAAGCCTTGAAATGGCACTGCTTTTCTCCACTAATTTCACTACTGAGCAGTGACGTAGCCATGGTTAGTACAGCCCGGGGCTAACATCTTAGTCTAGCCATGGTTACTACAGCCCGGGGCTAACATCTTAGTCTAGCCATGGTTACTACAGCCCGGGGCTAACATCTTAGTCTAGCCATGGTTACTACAGCCCGGGGTTAACATCTTAGTCTAACATAATTGTAAACACAAAGTCTTACTTTCCTTTTTTTTTTCGATTCATACCTGGGAGAAGTAAAAAATGTTGACTAGAATTATCCCCCTTTAAGAATTATTCGCGTTTAACATACTAATTTTGGAATGTTCCAATAATATCGTAGGTTAAACCTGGAAAACGTGTTGTCTACTGTCTTTTAAATCAAATTAAATTGCAAAATTTACCTCACCTACCTATGTTCTGTCACTTTCCTCTTGCTGTCCTTTTGGATACTACATTACAGCTAAGTGTTATTTTGAGTTAACTCTTTTTACTGTTGTTTGTTCGCCGAAGAAGGCTTCTTGTCGTCACGTTCATTGTGTTGTTGCCCATTGTTGCGTTCTTTTTTCCAGGTTTTCTCATGCTTCGTTTCGCTTATTTTGATAAGATATCGTTAATTAGATGTACCACATTTTGTAAGAAATGGCGTCGATAGTAACAATGAAATTATTAGTATTTATATTATTATAGACCAGCAACATTATGAACATTTGAAGAGTGAATACATATCATAGTCATAGCCTATTATAATTATTAATATCTGCTAGATAATTACGAGTCTCGATTGGTTCGGGTTCTTGTGTACGATTATGTTAATATGTAGCGTACGGTACATTCATAATCATTGTCAGTCATTGGTCATATTATCATTTGGGCATTTTCTGTTTGTATTATTATAATTATTTATTATAACTAAATTAGGATTTATTAGGACATGTGCGTACTGTGTTTATGTATGAAAAAGTCGGCATATCTCTTTCTATGCCACCAAAAACCCAGTGGCCCTCTTTCCACTGTCTATTTCTTAACAGACAAACAGACACCAATAAAAGATTAACCGTTTAAAACAAAAGGAAGTGATACATTACCATTATTAATATATTTTAAATACATTTTATTATCACTTCTGCTTAAAAAAACAATAATGTATTTGACTTATTTGTGATTATTTTCTTTGTTTCTCTGTTTTTAGCTACATTTATTAAAATTATTAACCTATACAAAAAAGTATAAAAATTTTCTTGTCTTAATATTTAATAATAAACTGTTAGTTTTTATTCAGATGTTTAAGGATAGAGCCATTAGTAAAAATTAGCTTCATACAAAAGTGATCAATTGCCACTTCCACCATGTCCAAAAAGTTTGTTAAGGTGGCATCTTGGATTTTCTTACCTCTGGTGGTTAGGGTTCAAATAGTTTGCTGTGGGGTAAATGTAAAATTTATAATTTAAATGTAATCTTGTGAAAAAATGGATGGACAATCTCTGAGTGAGTCTCTTAATAAATAAAAAGTAACAATAACAAGAAATAAAGGGATCTAAATCTTACCACAATTACAATGTAAGGCTGTGCCTCAAACACAAAAGTATATGTGGTGTAAGTCACACCAGCCTCACCTGAACACAACAATGGCTATGTCAGTGATGAGGCAATCCATTAGTTTACAGACAATATGATGTAAAAAGGAAAGCCTCCTTAAATTATTTAAAAAAATAATATCACAGACTATCGCTCCTTTTTGTGACATGCGCAGGCTAATGGCAAGATACAGTCTAAGAGTCTAACCCGAAATACCCAACACACAGGATGTCACTTTTCAGAGCTTGCATGTAACTCAGTGGTGTACCTTGAATAATAGTCTCCCAGGGCAAAGTTCCAAAATTGTTCCCCCTAAACATATGTTATGGTAGATAGTTTTGGTCAGTGACATTATCAAAAGTGCCACCCAGTTCAGGGACATTGCTAAAAAAAGGAAGGGGGGGAGAGAACCTTCAACCCGTTAGGTACACCAGTTTTTCCTTTTTCAACCCTTAAAATCATTTTAACTTTTATGAACTATCTAATTTAATAATAGTAATATTACCGGGTATTAATTATATTTTAAAAATAAATTAGGTCTAAATGATATTACTTATAGTATAGGTTTGAACAAGCCTACATGGAAAATAGAGTCAGTCAGTGATGGGTAAGTCATTAACAACACATTTACTTATGTAAAATATGCAAATAGGTTTGAACTAGCCTACATGGAAAATAGAGTCAGTCAGTGATGGGTAAGTCATTGGCAACACATTTACTTATGTAAAATATGCAAATAAAATATTATTTATTTTTATTTTACAGTTTCAAATTGGCTAATGCTGATCATATCAAAGGTAAAGAACCAATCATCCATATACTGTTATGGTTCTGCCAAATGTAGCTGATGAGTGGCATTATTTAAAACAATGGTGGTGCAAGTAAAATCCAAATCATTTTCTTAACCTTAGTATTGAAAATCTCCATGGATGATATAAACTGTAAAGTTCTAACAAAATAGTCAAGCCCTGTTATTATCCTCAAACTCAATAGACTTTCATCAACCAAAAAATTATAATGACAACTAAAATAATAATCAGGCCTGCAAAGCTGGGTGTTGAGATAAGAGGAATCAATCTTTTAGCACCTCTGGGCAAAGAGATGATAACAAAAATAAAAAGTGATCTTTATCAGCATAGACTTTTGATATTTAAGAATCAGGGTGTGATAAGTGGAGAAGACCATGTTAAAATAAGTCAGTGGTTTGGAGAGTTGGAATCAACATTTTACAAGCATCCAAAATCGCCTCACCCAGATGTGTTTAGAGTTTCAAATGATGAATATGAAGGTTGCAGAAATGTTGGAAGAACAGGTTGGCATATTGATGGCTCTTTCATGGAGAAACCTTTCAACTTTGCCCTCTATCACATGGTATCAGTTCCAAAAATAGGTTGTACTGGTAAGAAATTTCAGCCTCTTTTGATTACCCTTATTTTCTTTGTTTTTAGATATATTTATTAAAATTATTAACCTGTACAAAAAAGTCTGAAAATTAGGCCACGAATGATTTAATTTTTATTATGGAGGAATTCTTTGTAAAAGCCACATTTAGGACTAGAAGTAAAGTAGGCAGGAATATTTTCTCTAACAACACTAAAAATAAATATTTGATGGTCATCAGTTTTTCAATAAAGTAGTTCTATTGAAAAGATGTACAATTTACTTGCACACACAATTTATACTCCAATTGCCAGTTGTGCATTGGTTTGATGGATTAACTTCTGGGTTTGGAAAACTTGTCAACTTTGGTTTGTAATCTTTTGTTACTTGAGATAAAGATTTGGGATTTCTATCTTCGGTTAGTGAGAGCATTGGCTTTCTATTAGGGTTACAGTAGGCTTTAAAATATTCCTAAATGCACTTTTAGAAGGTGTTGTAAAAATTGTGTGGTGTACTGCTTTGATCATTTGTAGAGAAGCTTGATGAAAGTATATGGCGAATTTTGTTTTCCCTTTTTTTCCTTCTTTTTTTTTATTGTTAACAAAATATTTTTAGTTAAATCTTATTAACTTATTTTAAATCAAGGAAACATATTTTTTTTTCTTTCATGAATGTTTTAAATCAAATTATTGAAGTCCTTCTATTTTTGTTATGTATGGTATTATTAAACTTTGGAATTATATGTGTTGAATGTTGATTATTTAATCCAGCATTTGTTGGTTTCAAGGAGCTTCTTATGTCAATATCATCTGAAAAAAGAGCATCTTGGGATAGGTTGTGGATGGTAGGAAATGGACATGACATCATTCACCCTTTGATTTACACTCATCCTGAAACTAAGGAACATGTGAGAAAATAGTGAATTCAAATATTTAGAGCTCTTAACTTATGCCAGACTTTTTTTTTTCCCCACAATGCTCAAAACCTGTACACATTGATGTTAAAATTTTTTTTCTAATTTAAGACAAATTATTTTGCCTTAAAAAAAAACTTTGTCAAGTATTACTAAGCATGTCTTTGCAGGTAATGTGCTTCCATCTAGGGATGATTAGATGCTTTATATGGGATTATGGAACTCAAAATCAACGAATGACAGATTATAATGAAACGAGGCAGATTTTTCAGGACATTCATGATGAAATAGTCAAAGACAATGAAAAGCTGGTTTATGAGCATCATGTAAGATTTTAATTATACATTCCTACATACCTAGAAAAACACAGATTGTGTAAATTTTTGAGTTGTTAATATCAACCAATTACTAAAATGTATTAAAATCAACAAATACATTGTGTCCATTATTTTTATGTTTTCCAGTGGGAGAGAGGGGATTTCATCATCTCTGACAACCGAGCAGTGGCCCATGAAGCCACTCCAGAGACACAATATCCAGTGTCAATGGTTGGCCTACGAGTGCTGCACCGGACAACAGTTGCTGGGACAACAAAACCATTCAAATGAACAAGTCATTTAACCTATACTTGGGATTCACATTGTTTTCCAGTCCCCAGTCTTCATGACATAGCTACTTATTAGTTTACCGAATGCTTTATGTCATAATCCCATTTACAAAATAAGACTTTTCATTTCATTATTTCAGTGTATAATTGAATTATTTTAAATTCTAAGAAATTATTATTGGAACTGGAATCTTTTGTTATTTGCTTTAAAATCCACAAATATAAACATTCCAAACAAAAATTTTCTTTTAAAATAATTTTAATTTAAAAAAAAAAAAATACAGATGTTTTTTTACAATATTTATTGAAAGCTTAATTCTGTGGTGCACTTTTGTTTGAAATTTTAAAAATTATATCAATAAGAAATGTTTCACTACAGTACTCTACAAAAGCTTTTTTGGCTAATTTGCTTGAAGTGTTTCTAAGACTGTTTTAATTTATGCCAACATGATTAATCCATCAATCAATATTTTCCTTACATTGAAGAATGTTAATGAACTATTTTATTTAAAAATTGAAGAAAATGCTGCATGCATATGTAGTGTACAAACAAATTTTTGTAGGCATCAATTTTATAAATGTTCTTCTTGCATAAAAAAATGTAGTTATAAACTTGAAATTAATTTTGTTTCAAATCACTGTCTGTACATTTTCCATTGAAATATATTTTGTACTGCCTTAAACTTAAAAGATTTTACTCTGTCTTAGTCATTCAATGTTATTTAAAGTAACATATAATCAAACATATTTAAGTGGGAGTTACACTGAAACTTATTACGGTATAATTTTCAAAGCCTGAAGGATGTTATTTAAGGGACTACATTCTTGTCTTGTCTGGTGAAGAAGCAGAAACATCCTTTTTTAACTGTCCTGTCTTCCCATTTCCTGAACCTAAACATATCTTGTTCCACTATTTCCTTCTCAACTTGAAATAATGGTAATTTAAAAATATGATTTGTATGCTTGTAGAAAGTTATATTGTCTTTCTTCATCGTTAATTTTTTTTTTTTTTAATTTGTATAAATAAATGAGCGCTTTTAATGTGCAACAGACCTCCTTGCATTGTGTCAAAGCCAGATCTAAAAATAAATGTCCATAAATGTGTTGAGGTTATAAATTAATATTTATAAGTCACCATTAAAAATGCACAAATCTTTGCTTGTGTTTTTTGCTGTAAAATCTGATTGTGGAATTTAATCAAGGGTTAAAACCAAAATATGATTATATCAAATTTTACTCTTAATATAAATTATTGAATGTGACTTGAATACACTGTAAATAAACAATTCAATCAAAAATGTTGTGATGTAAAAATATATGTGCTTGCAAAATTATCTGTAAGCTTTCAGCCTCATACTGATAGGTCAGCACAGAGCAGAACATTGCTACATTGACAATCTCTCAGAAAAAAAGAAAGCAAATCTGGGTTTCTGATATTAAAATATATTAATGACCATGAATATTTTACCAGTTTCTGATGACAAATGTTAATTTAACAAATCAACATCAGTGATGTAAGAGTTGGATCAAAGAGTGTAATAAAAAAAGAGTGAAATAAAAGCTTTATGTTTCAGACTACTAAACCAATTTTGAGTAGTAAATAATGTTTCATCAGAGCAATATTAAAAGAATACCAGCAAGCGTTTGGTTGTGTTTTTTTTTGTACCTGTATCATGTGCTCTGCTAAGATATGGTTGGGTGGCATCACAATCCCATGGTATCTAAAAATTATACAATTACATAAGCATACTATTATTTTGTCAAAGTCATGAAATCATGGGTGAATGTTTTTTTAAACAAAAAAGTTTAATTGAGCTACTGAAATAAAATAAAAGTATGTCTCAAGGACTTGTGTGTCGGTTGGTTAAAAGATGTTAGACAATGCATAATAAATAAGGTGAAGTGAGCTGTTTAAATAACACATTGAAAGTCCAAGTCCCAAGGACGTTTGTGTCTATCGGTTGAAAGCTGAATCTTAAAATGAGTGGGTTGATATACTGTGACTAAAAAAGAATGATTAGGGAGATGTCGAGAGCTTGTAGTTACTTCACTTGGTAGATATTCAAATAGAGAGAACGTCCCTCTAGCAGGAATTAGTCCGCTGAGGAAACTTGATATTCATATATAGTCTAGCCTAGTCTACTATTGAGAAATGATGCACAGTGTAAATAAACTCTTCAATATTCTTAACTTGGCCTTGGAGTTACTTGCTATTCGTAAATCCAACCACGCTTCATCTCTCATTCAAGCACTTCAATGACAACCAGATATAACAGCTTGACATACCGTGAATCACACATATCTGACAGGCAAACAACAAATAACTTAATATTTGACATATATATCTACTGACAAAAAGTATATAGTTCTCTGCCTTTATAGGCAGTGTGAATATCTGTAAACTCATTTCAAGTTAAAACATGTAAAAGTTACACACGAGAGAGAACCAACCTAGCTAATTAGGGTGGAACTAACTTAGGCACAAAAATACCTATGCTGGCTCTCTGCACAAATACAGTAAAAAAAATACTTAATAGATAATAAATGAAGGATGGCATTCAAGATGTGTGAACAAAATAATAGTACAAGTCATGTTGAAGCTTGAATCAAAAGACAGGACAGTAAGATGTGAACGTTTTGGCTAAGAGCCATTATGGCGATCACTTCCGTTTTTAACTGTGCTCTGTTTCTTGTTTTATTTTCATTTGTCCTGTTTGCTGAGGAAGGCTCCTAGCCAAAACGTTTGGGTAGAAATGGAGAGTGGGAGAAAGAAAAATGTTTTGCTGGTGATCAAAGACAAATGATCATCTCAATTTACCTTAAATCACTGTCCCCATAATCCTCATCTTAATGTTCCTCATCATCATGGTAAAAACTAACTAAACCACCGATCAATAAACTTATTTCATGGGCGCTGTCATTCCCGATGCACACCACAAGGCACATAGTAAGTCGTGAGGACATTATTTACTACACATTTTATATATAGAGACTGTCAATCTAGGTTGAGTAGTAATAGAGAGACCAAAATATTGGTCTGGACTTTTAACACACAGATGCATAAGTGGGATGTCTGGGTCAAAAGGTTAAAAATTCAAAAATATTGGTGGTTAAAAACTTGAATTAAGTTTTTTGTAAGGAAACTTTGGGAGAGTTATTAGTAAACTATAAGATCTAGATTTGGCCCATACATAAACAATAAAATTACAAAAAAGTCCAATAATTTTACAAGCAAAAAACAAGAATAATACTTTCCATGACTAGAAACTGGAAGTTGTTGACATGAACTCGATGGAAGTTGTTGACATGAACTCGATGGAAGTTGTTGACATGAACTCGATGGAAGTTGTTGACATGAACTCGATGGAAGTTGTTGACATGAACTGGATGGAAGTTGTTGACATGAACTCGATGGAAGTTGTTGACATGAACTTGATGGAAGTTGTTGACATGAACTCGATGGAAGTTGTTGACATGAACTGGATGGAAGTTGTTGACATGAACTCGATGGAAGTTGTTGACATGAACTTGATGGAAGTTGTTGACATGAACTCGATGGAAGTTGTTGACATGAACTTGATGGAAGTTGTTGACATGAACTCGATGGAAGTTGTTGACATGAACTCGGTGGAAGTTGTTGACATGAACTTGATGGAAGTTGTTGACATGAACTTGATGGAAGTTGTTGACATGAACTTGATGGAAGTTGTTGACATGAACTCGGTGGAAGTTGTTGACATGAACTTGATGGCAGTAGGTTAAAAGTGCAGGATATAAACATATCAAAATATTTACATATTCACAAGCCAAAGAAAATAGTTCACGAAAAAAATGATAAACAATAGTTTACTAAGGCTTTGGAGAACCCTACGTGATTTAATTATGTACAATGTTGCATTGTTATGTTATGCTATAACATGAGATAGAAGACATAAGTTAATGTAAACTGGTAGACTTGTGTGCTGAAATGTCATTGTAACCTAAGTAACATTTATATAATTCTTTAAAAAAAATTAGTAATACTATAGTTACTTATCAAATTTGATTTGGCCTTTTCTTTCTTGATTGTCAAAATTTTTAATCGGTGACCCAAATGAAACCACTGGTGTATACATTCCTAGAGTCACTGTCAGCAAAAAGAAGCAGCTGTTAAGCCCTGGGTACTGATTTCTTGACATCAGCAAGTCCTTCATATTGGACTGGATGATCTTTGTTTAGCTGAAACAAAAAGGGCATTACGTATTTTACTCCACTGATGCAGACTAGTTTTAAAAATAAAGTAAATTTGTATTGTATTCTTTCAAATAATAGGTGTTTAGTTTTTCCAGAGACCAAAGCTAAATGACAACTAAAGTCAGTCCTGGCCTAATGTAGCCATAGTGTGCAGATGTGTTTTTTCTCCATAGAGAAGACCAGGACAACTTAGGTCATTGAGAGTTGCTAAGCCTGATTCTGACCAACATCACTTAGGTCATGAAGAGTTGCTTCTCCTGACCAGGATAACTTAGGTCAATGAGAGTTGCTAGGGCTGATTCTGACTGTGAGGTTCCAAATTATGTACAGAGAATATAATCAGAATCCCTGTGAAATACACGATATACCCATGGACTAATCAGTGGTGGGAAAACTACGGCCCAGGAGCCACATGCGGCCCGGCAACTGGTCTTATGCTGCCCTAGAAGGCATTTAGAAATTTAAAAAAAATATTTTGTGAAGTTATTTTGTTGAAATTTATTGAATTTTATGTACTGTTTTGATTGTTTTAACCTTTTTGATCAAATTTCTTTCTAAGTTTCTATGTTTTTAAACAGTCCTAGACTTTTGTCATGTCATGCTAAAATGCGAAATTACCGACTTTAATATAGAGAAATGTTTATCGCCATGTAAAAATTGGACATAGTATACCTGCCGCCCCCCAATGGCTTTACATTTGTCAATGTGTCCCTCCGCACAAAAAGTTTGCCCACCCCTGGACTTGATAGTCACCAGTTAGAGCACCACAGACCTGCATAAAGTATGCCTGATGTGCATGGACTCCATTTGGAAGACGACTGAACTAACATATAACAACACATCTAACTTTAAAGGAAAAATCCTGTCAACATTGACAATTTAAGAATTGCTTTCTTACGACAGGTAGCTATGACTGTGCTGCCATGGCAACTAGACACAGAAACAACCTCAAACGGCTCCTCATCTTTAGGGAACTGAACAGGTCGAGGGAGGTGACTCTCTTCAACCGGTCGGCCAAGACGACCCCGAGACGACTTTCCCCATGTATATACTTCATTATCTGTCAAATTTGAAAAAAAAAAAAAAATTTATGTTTCTTATAAGAATTAACACAGCTAAACTATTAAATATGAGATCAGTTCGTAAACTTGTGATTTACTATACACGTAGCTAAACTAATAATAAGCTTTCATCATTAGTTAACAGAAATGAAGAGGGTATGGGGTGTCATCAAAAAGATTAATGTTTCAGTGGAGAGTTAAAGTAAAGGTTGAGAACCACTGAAAAAATGATACCATAAAATACCACTGTCCACCTACCAGTTAAAACAGCCACCGTAAAAATGTCCCCGCAGGAAATCAAGGCCACCTTATTTTGTAACAATGTTACATGTTTTGGTTTTCTGTTGCCCGGCTCAGTCTCCACACCCAGCTGTCCAAACTGATTGGAGCCAAATGTGTAACAATCTCCATCAACTGCCGATGATCAAGTGACTTGTTTGAGCATTTGATGTTTAATGATTACCAGATATTAAAAAGATGACAGTTTGTTTTTGGTCACTCAATGTTATTTAAAATATTAAAATAACATATAACCAATTTCATATTGTGGTTTGAACTGGACCTGATTAATGCTGGAATTTATAATAATTTTCAAAGCTTGAAGGATCATATTTGAGGAACTACGTTCTGTCTTTGATTTTGTTTTTCACTTGTCCCCCTTTTTATTATTTTATATTTGTTCATTTCCAGGTATAATTCTACTGGCATCCGTCCGTCACAATGTGACGATGGTGTAGACTTGTCCGTCACAATGTGACGATGGTGTAGACTTTGCAGGACAAAATCACAAGGCTTGGGATTTTTCTTTAGGAGAATAAGCTGGTTCCCTAGACAGCAAATCGCCTCTCTCCACGCAACGGGATAACCCAAGGGAACATCATATGTGGATGATGCAGCTTGGCACCATAAGCGTCACAGGAGTTGCCGGAATATTCATTGCGTCAATGTTTTCCCCATACGGACTCCCTTTCCTGGTTTGATTTCAGAATTTTCCTTGTCTTAGATGAGTTGACCTTCCAGTGTTAACGAGTCCCATTCACCTGGGGTGGTGGGGATGTTTTTACTTGTCTGGACTTTGGTGAGGATTCAACTCCAGGCCACCAGCTTTTTGGATTGACTCAGTTTAGACCGCTCGGTCAGCCAAGTATAATTAGGATACTCATATATTATGTAAATTTAATTTACAATTATATTAATGTTTTTTGTTTTCTAATGAAGGCATTTGCCGAAATATTTTTATTTTGTCTAATCGTAATTAAAGCTTCCCATGGATTGTTTTATTTACAAAAACTCTTCGTGTCTCAATGATCTACTTAAAAGCTTTTATCGCAGTCCAAGCCTTTTATAGGCTGTTGGTAAACTAAAAGAGCTGCATCTACTCCATCAAAGAGAGGCAGGTTGCACACCATAGATTTCTGTTTTGTATCATTTACAAAGGAAAGCTACAAGTGGGTACTGCCATTTTAGAAAAAATGAAATTGAGTTAAATGTCTAATGAAACACTTTGATTATAGTGCAGGTAATGTAATAGGCTTTGAAAGCACTCGTGAAACCTCATGTATTTGTTTAGAGAGTATATGGATACTTCAGTTGAATTCTAACAGTTTATACCTGTGATATGCATTTGTATGTCTGTATTTGTATGTCTGTATTTGTATGTCTGCATTTATATGTCTTTATTTTTATGTCTGTATTTTTATGTATGTGCAACTAAATTGAGAGGTCTTAAGACAAACTAAAATAGAGTCAAGTCTTAAGACATTTTAGTTTGTGAATGGAATGGGAAAGTAAGTATAAGGTTACCCAACAATAAACAATGAAAGACTAAACCTGACAGCTCACAAGCATATATTTTTTTCTGACACTTCAAATCAGTAAAAAAAGCAGACTCTAACAAATTTTACCAGTAACAATGGCTGAATGTGATGTGCCAAGGGCAACCATCTTGACCTGGATATTAGAGATGGGGGATGATGAGACGGGGATAAAACTGGTGGATTCTTCCATTAGGCTTTCCACAACCTCATCAGAAGTAATTTGGTCAAGTGCAAGTTTGTTATATCTGAAGAGAAAAACAACAGGTCAGGAACTTTTTAATTGAGCTACATTTAACTATTATTGAAACAACATTAATTACTTCTGCCTCTACACTGCTAATAAGATTATGTTATCTTTAAAATATCACATCACAGCATCACTTTTATTTGACTCTTCTTCTATATAAAGTATCACATGAAAAAGTTAATCAATAAAAACATTTCTAGGGATATAATTGAAAAATACATAAGCGATGTAAAAAAAACAACAACACAGGTGGTAATGGAATAATTCGTTGGGGATCCAATCCAATGATTTTTCTTAAACAAATTGAAATGTTAAAAAAATGTAAACTATTCCAACAATTCAAACTGTCCAATAGAAAAATGGGAAGATTTAAAACTTAATTTCTGAAACCTAAACTTCGTGTACTGTCTTTTTATTCCGTCCCTTGATGTGTTGCTCAACCTTTGCATGCCAAGATGACCAAGGCTGCATTCAACGGTGAGTATGCAAGTGACCTGGCAGTCTGACTTTTACCAAGAAAGCTTTGCCGCATGTGGGACACGCATTGTTTTGGGTCCTAGTTGGACTTGAGCCGAATTCTGCTTTTGCTTGCCGTGCGCTTTCTTTGGGCGTGAGTGGTGCGCTTTTGCTCTAAAGATTGTGCTCCAACAGTGAGTCTACCTCGCCACCTTCCATGATAAGTTTTTACCATAATAATAAAATGGATTTGTTTTCTCATAAATGAAACAGTATTAATTTAATATAATATGTTATGTAATATGTTACCTGTTACTGCCTGAACAAAGCAGCGTATGTTCCAGAGTTAAAATAACAGAACAGTCCATGCCACAATGGACAAAACAAGGGTGAGAGTCTCCCGGTATGTTCACTGGTTTAGGTGATGTGGTTGAATCATAGTTACCCAAACCTAGCCGGCCTGTTCAACAGTTTTACATTAATTAAATCATCTTAACAATGACAAAACTATATTATATTCAAAACTTGAAATATTCAGCCTTAACATTTAAGACACAATTCAAATTTCAATATGGGTATTTACCATTATCCCCCCTGCCCCAAGCAAAGACTTCATGTTCATTAGTGACAGCCAGGACATGAGATGCTCCGCAGGACACTTGAATAACCTCATAGCCTAAGAGAGCTTCAACTATCTTTGCCTGTAATGTAAAGGATTAAAAAATAAATATTCAATTGATTCGATAAGATAAGATAAGATAAGATAAGATTCTTTTATTGATCCAAATAAATGGAAATGTTTTTTGATTGCATTATACATTTTCAGCTAAAAAATAAAACAATTTGAACACAAGACATTTATATTAAATTATTTCAAACAGCCATTCAGTGAGTTCTCTTAGCAAAATCGGGGACTTATTAGATCTCATTCAGATGTGTGACTTCAGAGGAAGCATGCCGGTAAATTCGTACAGATTGGGGAACAAAAGAATTTTTATATCTGTTAGTCATCGCCCTGATGGAAAGAATTCGTCCCGAACGGCCCGATCCTAAGTATCTGTGATGAAGAGGGTGGGATGTATCATCCAAAATGTGTTTAGTTTTGCAAAAACATCTTTCTTCAAATAGTTCTTCAAGTAAAGGATGTTTAGTTTGTGTTATGTTCCTAGCTTTCTTGATTAGTCGGTTTATGCTGTGTTTAATATCAGACGTTGAATTCCCACACCAGCAGGTAATATTGAAACTTTTTCCTTTTAAGTCTTAAATTGAAGAATTCTAAATTGTTCAAAGTTATATTTAGTCTTTTAAATCACAGCTTAACTATAATTTATTTTGTAATTTTTACTTTCACAAATTGTTTGTCTCTTGTTAAGGTAAAGTACACAACATATAAAAATCTGAATGACCTCAACAGTTCTGATCAGATGTTCTAAGGCCCGGTATGTATGGCTAAAGACAACGTGCACACATTTTTTATGTAAGTACATACAACCTTATGCATTGTTTTTGACTTAGACTAATTTCAGACATATTTTCATATTTATATGGGTGATTACTAAAACTACTAAACAGTCTCAACATAAATAAAAGCAAGATGGAGAGCATGAAGGTAAACTCAGCCAATCAAGAGCATGTCTCTCTGGTGGGAAAGGCACTGGAAGAAGTGGAGTGCTTCACATACTTAGGCAGCACCATCGACTTAAATGGTGGATCCGAGGCGGATGTGAGGGCCAAAACTGGAAAAGGTAGATCAGCATTTGTGCTATTAAAGAAAATATGAGAGTCCAAGGAGCTAAAGCTGCAAACCAAAGTTAGAATCTTTAACACTAATGTCAAAACAGTTCCACTATATGGAGCAGAAACTTGGAAAACAACAGCGAACATTATGCAGAAAGTACAGACCTTTATAAACACATGCCTTAGAAAGATCCTGAACATCAAATGGCCAAATACTATCACTAACAAAGATCTACTAGAAAGGACTTACCAGGTGCCTATTGATGAAGACATCATAAAGAGAAGATGGGGGTGGATAGGGCATACGCTGCGAAAACCCCCAGATAGCATCACCAGACAGCCTCTAACATGGAATCTACAGGGAAAAAGAAATAAAATGAGTAAAACAGAGTATGGTTAAACCTGAAAAATTAAACGCAACAAAACAGCGAACGTGTCGGCAGAAAGCCTTTGTCAGCGAACAAAACAACAGAAAAAACGTTATAAAAATAAGAAATAGCACTTAGCTGGTAAGTAGTATCTGTGGGCAGCAATAGAAGTCACAGATACTATTTACCAGCTAAGTGCTATTTCTTATTTTTATAACGTTTTTTCTGTTGTTTTGTTCGCTGACGAAGGCTTTCTGCCGACACGTTCGCTGTTTTGTTGCGTTTAATTTTTCAGGTTTACACAGATACTATTTACCAGCTAAGTGCTATTTCTTATTTTTATAACGTTTTTTCTGTTGTTTTGTTCGCTGACGAAGGCTTTCTGCCGACACGTTCGCTGTTTTGTTGCGTTTAATTTTTCAGGTTTAACCATACTCTGTTTTACTCATTTTATTTTGTACTAACCTGATGGCAGTCTCTCCCCTTATTACCCCAGGGAAAAAGAAAGAGAGGAAGGCCAAAGAATACGTGAAGAAGCGAGCTAGAGGCAGACACCCAAAATATGGGATACACCTGGAAGCAACTGGAAACGAAAGCACAGGACCGTGATGAATGGAAAATTCTTATGGACGGCCTATGCCCCAGACGGGGTAATAAGGCATAAAAAGAAGACTAAACAGGCTGATTATGTTTTGAGCCCACTACCTACCTCAACTGTGCAGTCATGCTATTAGATATTTTGAATTCATTAGTCATTATTTAAATAAATTTCTACTTAAATTATAAGCTGACATAGTAAGCCAGCAAGTCTGACTTCAGAGAAATCAACATACTACTACAAGTCTTATAACTCATTATTTTGTACAGCATTAATATGAGCGTTGGACAATGCATTTGTTTAAAACAATTTACATCTACCTGTGTGACATCATTACAGTTTCCATGACCCAGGCATCCATTAGCACCACTGCCAAAGGTCATCAGGATGCCACGATCTGGAATATAATGTTTTCCAGTTTAGATTTTTACTCTAATCCAGCATACAAATAAATATCATGTTATGCACTACAGCTACTTCAGCATTGCCAGGGTAACAACAATTCTGAAGTTTAGATTACACAACTAGAAAACTGTCAAAGACAAGACTGTACATTGTTATTGTATGGCCAACATCTTGGCATATTTTTTCCACTTCAAGTTAGAGCTATTTTTTAGCCACCATCATTTGAATATCCTTGATACTGACACCCCCAACTAAATGCGCTGTGCCAATCCTTACCCATCCCTCCCTTGGTTGGGAAAAGGTTGTTTACGTTCAAATGCATTCTATTTGTTCTAATGAATGTCCTCAGGGGACGCAATTTCTAGAATTTCTTTATTAGCTCGTTCTGATTGAATCTCTATATATTGGCTGCCAGATTTTTGCTATATTTCCTAACATATACGAGACATTATGTAATTTTCATGTGTAAATTTATATTTGTATTTTTGAGGAATGTACCTTTTCACTTTACTGTGCTGTAATCTGGTATAGTTTTTGGTTTCTGTCTTTGAATTTTTATAGAAATTTGATACTATAATTAAACTGAATATTGTTTGTATCACAAGCTTTGGTATCTTTTTCTTTGCATAATGTTTTTTTCTCAGTCCTTTGTTACCTATTGTTTATTTAACAAGCCCAATCATAACACAAATTAAATTTTCAAAACCATAATTGTACGTAAGAATATGGTAAGCAAATGAGGGCTGAATATATTTAAAATTACTGTGTTACATAACCACCTTACAAAATTTACTGGTGTAAAATTACTGTGTTTATTAGTACACCTTACAAACAGGTTACTTGTGTAACAATTCTCTTCTCACCTGTCAGACAAGCTGTGAACAGGTCACCGCATGCCACATGCTGTATTGTTACGGCCGCCTGACCCTCCAAAAAGCGAGGTATGAACGTGGGTGTGCTATTGTCAGTGGCGCCCGGGATGTAGCTGTCCGTTCCCATGGTTTGAGGCTTTGAAAAATTTTTGAACATTTTTTTGACATTCATGTTTTCAAAGTTTTTTGTAATAGAAATGAAAGATGCCAACTTTCACTACCACATGTCGGGCGGAGCCAAAAGCCAAAACTCATCAAGGAAACAATCTTAAAATTTCAACCAATTTAACGACATTTCAATTTTAAAAAAAAAAAGTTTCACCTTACCTCCCAAACAAAAAGTCTGCCATTTTTAGTGACCGCAGCTCTCTGTGTTCTCCCTGTCGACACTAGAACCACTTGAGTTTCCATGCTGGGCAGAGGTAGTTTTGTGGGGACATTAATTCCCCCACCCCAGCAAAACACAGAGCTTAAGGGCTGGGGCTTGCTTGAAAGGCCATCTGGAATTTAAAAGAGGGTTCTATAGTTTTGCGTCGTGTTGGACTCAAATAAAAATTTACATGGAAATGGTGAGGCACTTAACCCTATAACTAAGGCTGGTTTTGGGGCATCAATTTTTGCTGCCCCAGCAAATTTGGGCTTTTCACCAACTTCGAAATACCAAGCACTGGATAGCATTGTTTGTAAATATACAAGAAATCACCGCAATTAATGTTAATGTAAATGCCAGCAGTTAAAAGCAATTCGCTTATTAACTTCTCTATAAATAGAAGATAGAAAACTACAAGAAGTATATAGCATTAAATAGTGACGTCGACGTGATGTCCTCGATAATTCAGAAATGTGCTGTGCCTATTTGTCATGATGACAATGTGACGTCCTTGTTAATTGAAAGTGGGTTGTCATGACGTCGCTTTGACGTCAGCGGTAATGAAAAAGTTAAATATTGTGGATGTGATGTCACTTGCTTGCATTCTCACAATGAACAGAAAAACAATGGGCATGTATCTAATTATGTACCTCTTGATGTTGCATTACCACGAGCTGATGACCTCCCTCTGCCGGTGCCTTGAATACTTGATAAAGGGCGGTTAATCCTAGAAAACAGAAATAATAGCTATCACTACATTTGTTTACCATTCCATGTTAAAATAGTTAATTTCATGTTTTTAACAAGTTATTTATAGTAAAGTGGCCAATCGCACACAAGCGTGTACAATCAATCAACTATACCTGACACATGGCACTTTCCCCATGTCTGTGTGTAAGTTCATGATCGTGTTGACAATGATTGGTTGAGCCATGATCTGATTGATGGTGGGCCGCTTGTTGGGGTCAAGGTGCAACATGCTGAGGATCAGGTCTCTCAGATGTGGACTGTACCGAGATGAGATTGGAGAAAAGGTGCCCCTCATGATTTTCAAAATCAAAGCTGGCAAGTTCTGAGGATAAATAATCAAGACTCCCTCAGTCAACTGCTCAGCTGTGTGTGCTACCCCTAGTTTCACATAGATAATGGAAGCATGATGATGGTAACAATTTGTAATGAATTACGTGAATGATTTGTTGTCAAATACAACATAAAATCATAATTATGAAGAGGAAAAAAAAATTAATGGACATTTTCTTCTGTTTAACTGTATGTGTCATTAAATCTAATTAAATCCCCTTGTGCCCAGCGTCATTTGACATCTGTCTTTCAGAAAGAATTTAGGCCTACATTCAGAGGCCCATTCGGTGAAATGAAGAAGTGGTGAAGACAGGAAGAGAGTTGACATTTATTCGAAAAGAGAGAGAGGGGGATAGACAAAGAAAAAGAAAGTGTTCGAGAATAAAGCTTTTATAAAAGAGAGAGAGAGGGGCAAAAAGGGGGGGGGGTTGCAATATCTTCAATATGTTTCAAGTTCAAGCTTATCTATTCTTTTAAAAAGTTAACTAGAGAACAAATGGAATAAATAAAACCAAAAAAGTAAATAAACAAAGATAACTTTTAAGGTGCAGAAATTCAAACAATAGTTGGATACACTTAAAGTCATTAAACAATATTGAACTCACAGCAGCCTCGAAAGCCCTTTTCAGACTTGCCAGCTCATACAACACACAGCCAAGGGCCCATATGTCACTCTTCTGGTTATATCTTAGTCCAAGTTAAGTACACATAACTTTTAAAAACTAAATCAAACTAAACAATGCTACAGCTGCTTCTCAAATAAACTTCCCATTGACAAAAGCATGCATTTTTATTTTAGCTATATAATTTTTTTTTACTCCGTGAGAAACTTGATCTCTAAAACCAGAAAATGCTTTCATATAAGCTAAGAAAACTTCCACAGAGTAAATGAGTCATATAAACAATTTGAAAGATACGGTTTCCCTTCACATAATTCTGGTGAAATATAACATGGGGTTCCAACAACCTGGGGAAAAAAATCAATAATAGTTTGTCTTACCATCATATTTACATAAATATAACTCATCTGAATTAATCAACTAATAAATTATTGATGCCTGTATCTTGAAGAAGTGATGTAACAATATAATGAATTAATCTTTATCGTCAGATGAAACCATTGGTGATTTTCAGTAATAAAAGCAAGGCTTAAATTTCTGCAATGTCCCCAAGTTACAATAATGCAGTTCTATTTGACCAATGTAACATGGGTTTACTGCTAATAAAGAGCTCAGCTTACTTACTGTGTATGCCTTACTCTTGCTGCTGAGAACTTTAGAAATACCAAAGTCTCCTATTTTGACGATTTCCTTTTTCTTGTCAAGTAAGATATTTTGTGTTTTGAGGTCCCTGTGTAGAATTTGTTTGGAGTGGACATGCTGCAATGACAGCAGCATCTGAGCAAGGAATTTCAGTATTTCCTGTGCAATTTAAGTTGTAAGAAAATGTATTTAAATTGTATTCAAGTTGAATTTTATTTTTAATTGTAGAAAATGCTCAACAAATACAAAGTGATATAAGGTCACGAAGGTACAATGCAATTTTCAAATTTTTTTATTTGAAAAGTCTATGCATAGTGGTAGCCACAATTTTTCTCCCTCCAATTTTCATTATTAATGAGGTCATTTTTTCAAATGAAAATTACTGCCAAACACCTGATTTATTTAATATTTACAAAAAGCATCATACCTATCTCATAGGGCAGAACAATCATGCCTATCTCATAGGGCAGAACAATCATGCCTATCTCATAGGGCAGAACAATCATGCCTATCTCATAGGACAGAACAATCATGCCTATCTCATAGGGCAGAACAATCATGCCTATCTCATAGGACAGAACAATCATGCCTATCTCATAGGGCAGAACAATCATGCCTATCTCATAGGGCAGAACAATCATGCCTGTCTCATAGGGCAGAACAATCATGCCTGTCTCATAGGGCAGAACAATCATGAGTGTCTCATAGGGCAGAACAATCATGCCTATCTCATAGGGCAGAACAATCATGCCTGTCTCATAGGGCAGAACAATCATGCGTGTCTCATAGGGCAGAACAATCATGCCTGTCTCATAGGGCAGAACAATCATGCCTGTCTCATAGGGCAGAACAATCATGCCTGTCTCATAGGGCAGAACAATCATGCCTGTCTCATAGGGCAGAACAATCATGCCTGTCTCATAGGGCAGAACAATCATGCCTGTCTCATAGGGCAGAACAATCATGCCTGTCTCATAGGGCAGAACAAGGGCAGAACAATCATGCCTATCTCATAGGGCAGAACAATCATGCCTATCTCATAGGGCAGAACAATCATGCCTATCTCATAGGGCAGAACAATCATGCCTATCTCATAGGGCAGAACAATCATGCCTGTCTCATAGGGCAGAACAATCATGCCTGTCTCATAGGGCAGAACAATCATGCCTGTCTCATAGGGCAGAACAATCATGCCTGTCTCATAGGGCAAAACAATCATGCCTGTCTCATAGGGCAGAACAATCATGCCTGTCTCATAGGGCAAAACAATCATGCCTGTCTCATAGGGCAAAACAATCATGCCTGTCTCATAGGGCAGAACAATCATGCCTGTCTCATAGGGCAGAACAATCATGCCTGTCTCATAGGGCAGAACAATCATGCCTGTCTCATAGGGCAGAACAATCATGCCTATCTCATAGGGCAGAACAATCATGCCTATCTCATAGGGCAGAACAATCATGTATAAACAATCGGTATAAAAATAAAAATAAGAAATAACACTTAGCTGGTAAGTAGTATCTGTGGGAAGCAATAGAACACACTTCTATTGCTGCCCACAGATACTACTTACCAGCTAAGTGCTATTTCTTATTTTTATTTTTATACCGTTTTTTCGCTGACGAAGGCTTTCTGCCGACACCTTCGCTGTTTTGTTGCGTTTATTTTTTCAGGTTTAACCCTACTCTGTTTTACTCATTTTATTTTATACTTTCGGAGCTGGTGTTGGCTTTTCCATCACAACAATCACTGCCCACACATTCTCAAAGTTAACAGAAGGCATCAATGGCCGTTTGACAACACTTTCACTCCCTCTATTCAAATATAAGGAGCCACACTCATAGGTCCTTATGCTCACATGATGACAAATTCTAAGAAAACCAAAATCACATTTTTTAAAGAATTAGACAATCTAATCTCAAAAGTCTCTGGGGAATTCAGTGCTAAAGTTGGAACAGATCATCAGACATGGGAAGGGACAATCTCAAGACATGGCCATGGAAAGGGCAACAGCAATGGTTTACTGCTCCTAAATGTATGCAGACAAATGACCCCACTGACACCATCACACTCTACTGCCTTCCACCATGAAAAAAAACTTCCTGGATGCGTCCACGTTCAAAACACTGGCTCATGATTGACTGTGTCATCACCATAGAAAAATGACATAAAAGATGTTGAGTAACTGATGTTATGAGTGGCGATGAGTGCTGGACTATCATTGACTAAAAATATGTAAATTAAAATTTCATATAATACCGACAAGAAGACATGAAGAACAGAAATTTAAAACAAAGCTTAATGTCTACAAACTTAAATGCCCAAAAATATCAGAAGAATTTTCCATTGAACATTATGTAGGGTGTGCAGCAATCCCTTGAAAGAAAATGAAAATATGGATTAAAAATTTTTACAATTGTGCCAAAGTGTCCTCGTTTTATAGCCATTTTAATTGTTTCTATAGTATAGTAGTTACTATCCTAACATCTCATTTTTATTTTAGTTAGTTTACATGTTTTTAATAATTGTAAAGCGCTTAGAGCTTTAAGGTAAGCGCTATATAAAAATGCCTAAATAAATAAATTGAGAGAAACTATCTACCACACTGCCCTAGAAGACCTCGGACTAGCAACCCGCAGAAATAAAGATTGGTTTGATGAAAATCATAATGAGACACAGTCACTACTAAATGATGAACATCAGGTGCTGAGATCTTATCAGGACAACCCTGCGTCATAGGTAAAGAAAGATAGCGCTGGGTGGACTTCTCGGAATCAGGCCTGGGGCATTATCCTCACATCCGGATGCTAAGGTGCTGTGTCTTCTTGCAATATGGCAACCAGACAGGTAATGCTGGCACATCACTTCCATTGACAGGTCTCACATGTAATTACACAAGGTTCACCAGGAGAGTAGTGACAGGTCTCACATGTAAATACACAAGGTTCACCAGGAGAGCAGTGACAGGTCTCACATGTAATGATGCAAGGTTCACCAGGAGAGTATTGTAAAAAAAAAAGGAATCACACCTAGTCGGAAACAGTCTACACAATAAACAGGAGTACTTCCTGAAAGCAATGTGGATTTTGTTCATAATGGGTCACAGCTGACATGATATTTGCTGCACACCAGCTCCAAGAAGAATGTCCAGATTAACACAGCAGCCTTTGTTAATCTGACCAATGCATTTGACTCAGTCGGAAGAGATGGCCTGTGGAAGATGATGGAGAAATTTGGCTGCCCAAGTAGATTTATTATAATGGTATGTCAACTCCATTATGGTGTGATGGCAAGGGTGATGGATGATGACTGATGCCTTTCTTGACAATAATAACTCCATTCCTATAAGATACGGGACAGACTTTGGGCTATTAAATTTTTGGAAACTGCAACCCATTACGAAAATTAAAGAAACAGTTATTAAAGACTTCTTTTTGTTGATTAATGCACCTTAAATGCAAGCTTGGAACTGAAATGCAGATAATACTTGATTGCTTTGCTAAGGCCTTCAACAACTATGGCCTCACCATCAATACGAGAAGAACAGATTGGACAGAGTACAGCAGAAATCCTAGTCAACTGAACCATCTTCACCAAGTCTGTTTAAACAAACTTTTTGGCATAAGTTGGCAGGACGAAGTCCCTGATACAGAAGGTCTACAAAAGTCTGACTTAATCAGAATCTACATGTTTATACAAAAAGGACAAGGCAGATGGCAGAATTCATAAAAGATAATAAATCCTACTTCCGGAACAACAAATGAGATCTCTAAAGTTTTTTGACTATTTTTCTGTTTTCTGAAGAAGGCTCTAAGCTGAAACGTTCACATCTTATTATTCTGTCTTTCACTTTAACCTTCAACATACCTTGTTCTACTTTTTCAGACTTCCTAAACAACTAATGTTCTGTGAACTTTCCAGATCGAAACTCTCAGCTGGTGCAAAAAAATGCTTTAAAGATTGTCAAAAAGTTTTACTCAAATCTATAGATATTGACCTGAATTCATGGGAAAAATTTGCTTGGATCGTACAAGCTAGTGAGGCAGACTCACTATTGGAACACAATCCAAGGAGTGTAAGACATGCCCAAAGAAAGCGCACAACAAGGAAAAGCATAATAGCCTCCAATCCATCTAGGATTCCAAAACATGTGTCCAACATGTGGGAAAGCTTTCCAGGCACAAATAGGGCTGACAAGCCACCTGTGTACTCACTGTCGATGAAAGTCTTGATCATCTTTGTAAATGAAGGAAAATCAACAATCTAATACTGGATTTAGAGTTAAAAAAAAATATTTTTTTAAAAATATTGAATAACTTACTTCTTCTTCTAGCAAAATGCCATTTCTGCTCTGTAGAAAGTCCAGTAAAGTTCCACCTAAAAAATTTATTGAAATAAACCAGAATTACATCAAAATTTTAAGCCATTGGAAAAAAATATGGTAAATTTATTTATTTTTTCCCACAACAATAAAATGTCCTAACCTTGTGCATATTCCATAACAATCATTAAGGCTTTGTCTTCTAGGAAATTTTCAAAATATTGAATGATGTTTGGGTGGTGAAGCATAGATAAAACCTTGACTTCATTTAGTGCAGCTTGGCGTTCATCTTTGGTCATTTGCTCTACTGGTATCTGTTTGATGATGACATTCTTTCTGTCACTCAGATGGACACATAAATGAACCGTTCTGTCAAAAAGATAATAACACGTGTTAAGAAATTGTTAAAATATCAGCATAATAACATTTTATTCTTAATTTGGGTTAAAGTGAAATTATATAATAAACTATTTTATAACAAGTTTAGTAACATTCTAAAGATATTTCATAACATGGGACTTTTTGTTTCAGAATGTTTCTTTCCTCAATGCCTCATGCAATGATACCGATCTTCCTCGAGCACCTCCCCAGGTGGTGGATGTAGGAAATAAAATACTCGGGGTGGACCAAAATTAGAACTTACTGCAGTGCTAACAACAAATAGGCACTCTATACAACCAACCCCTTCAGTACCTTGCATATGCTGATGACATAGCACTGTTAGGGGAAAAAAGTAAAGGTATATCAAAAGCTTTTATTGAATTAGAAAACACATAACTGCAAGCAGGGCTGGAAGTTAACCAAAAAACAAAATACATGACCATGTTTAAAGAAGATTAGACAGATGAAACCATTAAAATTTGAAACCACACTTTTGAAAAAGTAAATCAGTCCATACACAAGTGAAACTTGGACCCTATCAAAAACAGCAGAAAGCATATTAAACATATGGGGAAAAAAAGTTCCCTTTAAAATATACGGACCAACAAAGGATGAATATGGATGGAGAATACGAACCAACCAGGAATTTTTTTGTATAGTCTATATCAAAATCCCACGCTAATAGCAGAAATAAAAAGGGCATGCTAGCGGGACACTCAGAAAGAATGCCAAATAACAGATGAGAAAAAGGGGGTGCACAGCCAAAACCCCAGAGGAAAATGGCTTAAAGGCACACCTAAGCTGATGTGGAAAAAGATCTACAGCAGCTGGGAATCCAAGCATGGAAAAGAAAAGCATATGTTAGGTCTGAGTGGAAGGAACTGGTCGGGCAGGCCAAAGCCCTACATGGGCTGTAGTGCAAGCCCTACATGGGCTGTAGTGCCACAGGTGTGGATGTTACCTCAATGCTGAATCAGACGCCAGTATGCAACACAATATTGCACATTTTTTCATTGCTATAACAGGCTTTGGTCTCATTATAAACATGACTGAGGTCCTGTACCAGCCAGCACTTCGACAGCCTGATGTACAGCTCAACATCTACTTTAGCAGCACACTGTCACAAAAGGCCACTGATGGTGACGAGGTGAATTGCCAGTGCAACTTTTGTAAGACTTTCCTATACCGCTTGAAAAAACTAAAATTGTGCCCATCGCTTGAGAAACCTTCTATTTAAAATTATGATTTACCATATAAGACAAAATGAAAGCAGATTAACCAGATTAGTTTGCAGCATTTTAGTAAATTAAATACAGGTTAACTTACTTTTAAGAGACTATCCATAAATGATGTCGTGCATCAAAGGGGGAGAGGATGAAAAATGTGTAATGAAAGTTTCCATTTTAATTTTATTCATTTTTTTAAAGGGTTTTTTTTGGAGGGGGGATCTGCCAAAGTTGTGTGAAATCATTTATGGGTGGCTCCAAAGCAAAAAAAAATGAAATTTTGAGTTAAGGTCTAAAAATTATTTGGACAACTTTCTATTCAACCAAATTAGCGTCTATCAATTTTCCATCTACCAAATTTCTTTCATGCAGATTTCTGGATAAGCCAAATGCCCCCTATTGCTGGGGATAGCAACCTAATAATGGTGTTAAAGCCACTTTGAAATGGATACTTTGATGTCCGTTATTAGGGCAATGAAGGGAGAAGAGCTGGGTTCCTGGTGGCATAGAAACTGAGAGTGGCTGCTGTTTTCCCATTGAAGTGCCAGACCAAAATGTGATTAATCTACAGGAGTGCATATAGAGATATATCCTTCCAGGCTCACTTATTGTATTGGACAGATGCAAACATCAACCAGATCAGACTTGGAATCTACAAACATTTCTTCTTCTATATATTAAGAGCCCACAATCAATGTATTGATCATACTGGGTCATATATATGTAGAGGGGATTTGCAATTGTATCTGTGCCTGGTATTAAAGGAGATATTTCACTGACTGCAAAAGCTACTCAGCGAGGGTATCATGAACTGGGGGCTGGAAGGCCTGAGACAATAGACCCAAATGTGTCAAGTGTTGTTGCCTCAACTGTTCATTTTTGAAGCTTGTTCCAGTCCCTGATTGCTTTTGGCAGGAATGAGCATTTCTGTACTGAGTTCTTGCTGTTATGAGCCCGAACTGCCTGTCATGGCTTCATTGCTGTCTAAGGGGTAGAGGGATGGGTTTCTGTTTAATGCTGGAGCAGTGGACCACCCCATTATTTATCTTGTGTATCATGGAGAGCCTAGATAATCTTCTTCGTTCCTCCAATGATGACATGCCCAGTATTTCAAGCATGTTGCCAACACTAGAAATGTTCCTGTAGCGGTTCAGCACAAAGCAAGCTGCCCGTCGCTGGGCCACCTCTAACCTGTCGATGTTCTTCTGGGTGAATGGGTCCCAGACTGAAGATGCATAATTTAAAAGCGTAATAAGGGGAGAGACTGCAATCAGGTTATGAAATTAGTAAAACAAAGTAGGGTTAAACCTGAAAAAGGAACGCAACAAAACAACGAACATATCAGCAGGAAGCTTTTGTCAGCGAACAAAACAACAGAAAAAACAGAATAAAATTAAAATATAGCACTTAGCTTAGAAGCAGTATCTCTCAGGTACTTCTTCTAAGCTAAGCGTTATTTTTTAATTTCAACACATTCGTTGTTTTATTGCGTTCCTTTTTCAGGTTCAATCTTACTTTGTTTTACTAATTTCATAATTTAAAAGCGGCTGGACAAAGGCTTTATAGGCTCTTTCTTTCACACTGGAGTTGCCGATCTTCAGATTTGGCCTTTAGAACCCTCAGGTCTTGTTAGCCTGGTTGCAAACTCTATTGTGGTCCATCGACAAAATTTTGTTGATCCAAATGAAACTGGTGTCCACAGATGGAATGTTAAAAATATGTGGAAGCACGCAAAGGGAAAACTGAAAAAACAGTTTGGCACAAGACAGTATGCCACAAGCCACAATCTTTTCCCTTTATATTTGCGATCGTTTTCTTTGAAATGAAATTTTCAAACTTTTTCTTGTTACCTTGGGAAGATCTATGCATAAACTCACACCCTGTTTTCTTTACATACTGATACATTAAATTTGTTTGAATTTTTTAAATTTTAATGTTTAAATATTTCTATTTTAAAATTTTTTGTCTTGGATTATTTATACTATACATATGTGCTGAAAGGAATATGTAAAATGTCATAATAAAAATGGCAATTTATTTGGATTAATAAAAGAATACTATCTTATCAATGATTATCAATAAACAAACATTTCAATAGTACTTCATATTGGAACAACATGATTTTTGAATAGCTGACGCTGAAGTGGTAGATTAGCAAAAAAATTAATTCCTAAAGTAAACAAAACATGTCATTTAGTTCAAGTGAGTAAAGAATACGACTAATAGTAAGTACTAAACTAGTATTAAGTATACAAGCACTATAGCTATAGTCTATTACTTCTACTTCCAGTTCAGTAGCAGTAGCAGTAGTGTATGTACTTCGGTAAAGCAAGGGAGACTACTTCAAAATTTGTATTGGAAATGGGCGGCTTCGCCGAAGAATCCAAGTTTTTCATTTTTGGATGTTGGTGATTTTCCATTTATAAAAGGACTATTTTGTCATAAAATTGTGGTATCCTTCCACACGTTCACATTTGGGGACATCTAGCCCTACATTCCAACATACTGTTTTGCCTTTTTTTGATCGACCTTAGTTTTAGAAATTCTTAGGTATATATAAGGCATCTTTCCCTCAAAAATTTTTAAGAAAATCAAAGACTAGGTCCCTCAACTTATTTAATATTGAAAAGCATTATATATTGATGTATTATTGTGCCAATTTTCATTGATGTAGATCATGTCTGACAATCACTGCGCCTGTCCCAATAACCTGCATTACCATAAGGTCGCCCAGCCTAACATGGCATGGGCCACAACCCCTTTTTAATGAAAAAGATGCAGATACTTAGGAAATATTTAATAATATTACCACTATTTACATAATATTATTTGATAGCTTTTGTTTTAGAATGAACTTAAATGTTTTATTGAAAGAATAATATTTTAATTTGAGGTTAAAAACCCGGTGACGTCCATATTATAAATGATAATAATTTGCCGTGTGCAAAATGTCATGGCTATGGGCAGCCATTCACAGTCACTTGTATAATGGCTATACCGTACTATCATAGAGTTTTATTCATAAAAGTTTGCCTTGTGCAAAAACCATTGGTCAGGGAAAGCTTTAATTTTAATTAATTAGTAATGTGCAAAAGTTGAAAGTTCAAAATAAGTAGTCCCTAAACAGTATTTTTGTAATAATGGGATGTGTTTTACTTATATAAACTATGTAGTCATTGCGCATGATGAGATCAGCGGAATGAGATCACAAGATGTGGAGGTTTCGTCCATATGGTCCATAGTAGAAAAGACCAAACAAATTCGCACTTTAAAAATTCATAGCTCAAAAAGTACTAAAGCTAAAATTTGATTCTGGATTCATTTTTTTATTTGAAATTTGCTATAAATAATTGTAATATTAAAAAAATTATTTTGAATTTGGCTAAATCCCAGGACGGCTGTCATGGCGTCTTTTGTGTGTTAATTATAGTTGCAGTGAATTAGGGTTTAGGTTAGGTTGAGGGATCGATTTAGTGTTCATGTTAGGCATAGTGATTGATTTAGAATTTAGGGTTTAGTTTAGGCCGTTTGGGTTAGGCATAGGGATCAATTTAGGGTTCAGGTTAGACATAGGGATCGATTTTGGGATACATTCATGAAATTCGATAAAATAGTGGCAGTCGTCGCCGTATATAACCTTGAATTTTTTTTACTGACGTACTTATTTATATTATAGTAGTGTTGTAGGTTGAGTTGCAAACTCTCTCTCACTCAGTACTCAGATGGCTAAGTCTAAGTCGCCTATAGAGTTAAATTTGGAATAT